AAATATAGGTTGTCTCATTCGTATTATCAATTAGAATTTTTATTAAATACCTTCAGCAAGTCGCTGAGGTAATACACCAGGTACACCTTTAAATGTATTAATCATTTTATAATGATTTTCTATAGCACCTTGACACACTGTTTGAGCATCATCAGTTTTCCATTGCCATGATGTACCCACTGGATTTGTATGATGTCTATTATATAAAAAAAAAAAAAAGTAAAAAAAGTTTTTTTTTTTCCTTTGCTAATTTACCTCCAACAAAAAACACATTTATTTGCACATGCAAGACTTGGTGTTGTTTCCATACAACGATGACTTTCAATTCCATAAAATGTATGTTTATAACATCCTCCACGTCCTCTTAACATTGACTATCAACAGGAAAAAAAACAATATTTATATTAACTAAAATTTAATATTCAATATGTCTGTATACCTTTGTCCATCGACATAATTTAACACCTGAATGAGAACCAATTAATTTATAACCTTGTTTCTCTAATGATTTACGTATTATCGGAGTGATCATCTCTTTTGGAGGACCTTTGGCTGTCTAAAAAAAAAAAAACTTTTATCTATTGAATACTTCTATAAATAAATATTTTTACTTTATTTGGTGAATGTGTTTCCATATAATCTCCCATATCTTCTAAATCCATAATATCATCATCACCATCTTTACATCCTCCACCTTCATCATCATCATCACTTTCAATTCTTGATTGTTCACCGTTCTGCTTTTTCTAAAAATATCAAATATTTCAAAATTTTTAAATAAATAATTCTATTAACTTCAATTGAATGATCGTTATTTGTTGATGATTGACAACAACTTATTGAATTCTCATTTGAACAATCACATTTTTCAGTTTTTGGTGATTGAAAAGCTGATTTCAATTGAGATGACCATTTTGAATAATGTCCTTCGAGACCTAAATTAATACAAAAAAAAAACAAATATTTTAAAATTTTTCATTCAATTAATCTTTACCTCCATATATACTTTTTCCAGAATTTTCATCAGCTAATTCAGTTGGTATGAATTGTTTAGCTCCTAATTCTGATAAACATCGATCAAGTTCTGTTGCTACCTATTGAAAAATAAATGTTTTATATTTTCATATTTGTTTTTTTTTTTGAAAATTTTATGAATTTACTTTATTAAAATTATCGTCATAAAATGAATTTCCACATCCAAATATAGCATAGGTTAATTTTTCAAGTTCATTTTTTGAAACACGAAAATCAGTTGCTGCTTCTTGTAAATGAAGAACAAACCATTTAGCTGATGGTGGTGGTGTACCATCTTCATATGTTGAAATAAATATTAATAATTTTCTTTGATTTTTAGCCTTAAATAAATATTTAAATCAATAATAATACAAAAAAAAAATGCAAAAATAATAAATACTTGTATTTGAAGAAATTCTTCTGGATCAGTAATATCATTTAAATCTTGAAGAATAACTTGACAATTTAATTCATTTGATAATTTATCATAAGTTGATTGAGCAAATGTCTGATATGAAAGAAAGAAATGATTTTATTTTTAATAATCAATAAATCTTACTCGACAATTTCCTTTAACTGAACCAAAAACAATTGTAATTCCATTTTTTTCTTGAGGAATTATTTTTGTTAATGATTCCGACGGTTTCGATGAAGATTTCTAATAGATTCAATCAAATTTATTTGAATTAAATTTTATAGAAAAATCACTTACGAAACGTTTTATAATGCTCAATGATAAGAAAACAATAAAGACAAATGTATATAGTGGAATCGTAAACAAATGCCAAAGTGACCATTCTGCTCCTTGAAAAGATAAAATATTTAAATGTCATATTGGATCGCAAATTCTCATAACTCGACTCGAAAGATCCATGGAAACCAACCATTTTAGATTTTTTTTTCTAATCATATCAATACATCCTTTTAAACCGAATATCAGCTTAAACGATGGATATCAGTTAGGATGGTTCCTCTGTAAGTGAATAAATATATTGTTTTATTTTTTTTTATAAATATGAACTATGAACACTACTTTATCAATGGTAAAAATATCAGTCCATACGGCGAAGGTATCCAAAATTTTCTTTGTTTAGTTACTTTCTAGACATTCTATACTAATTAAAGTTTCAATTTCACGAGAAACTAATTAATTTAATAGCCGTCTTCTATTACGTCTGACGTATTGTTCCTCAAGAAGAAGGGGGTATTACTCAGTTGTCTGTCAGAGTCGGTGGGAAAAATCCAAATTTTTACTCCTATACTTCAACACCTCTGTTAGAGATCATGTTTCACAAAAATGTCAAAAAATATTCATACCAGCAAAAAAATAAAATACCAGACCCGTGAGAGCCGAACCAGCTGCAAGTATATAAAGATCAACTGTCATCTAAAAAAAAACAATCATAACTTATTTATAATTAAAACATAAGGTTTTCTATTTTTTAATAATCATAATCATAATTATAATCAAAAAAAAAAAAAAAAGGAAAAATTTTTTATGATGATGGGTTTGGAATATTTTTTAAAGCAAGAAGTCCTGTATCAGCTGCTGGTGTTTTAATATATTGTTGAACTTGTTTAAATTTTGGATGACCAGCATCTTGTGTTAATTGAAGAACAATTGATTCAAATGTTGTAATAAAAGCACCGGCTTGACGCATATGTTCAAATGCATACATTCTAGATAATAATCATTTATGTAATTACATAAAATTTAAATCAAAATATAAGAATACCTATCAGTTAATGAACGTGATGAAACAGCATCAGCAACAACATAAACACGATAATCTTGTGATAATAAATCAATCGTTGTTTGAAGTACACATACATGAGCTTCAATACCACAAATAATAGCCGTATTAAAATCTATACAATCATTAATATGCATAAATATTACAGTAAAAATTACATATGATAGGTTAAATATAAAGATAAACTATCCAGATCGAGAAATACGAAGTTCGTACACACCTGTAAACGATCGTATTTCAACGGTTTACATGATTCAGTATCATGATCGTAATACTGGATCATGTAGTTCATCGTATTGTTTGATCTGGTTATTGAAGACACATCGATTAATAAACATGTTTAAGTTCGTACGAGATAAAATTTGGATAAACTTGTTTTGAAAGTAATTATACTGTGTTTAGATGTTTCTAAGGGATAGAATCTATCGGCTTATTTGTTTTCAGACTCAAATATAATTGTTTTATGCGTGTGTCATAGAGTCAGAAATGAATCGATTTTGTTTGTAATTTACTCATTCATTGGTAGAATTTTTCAAATTTTCTTTTTTCGTACCTTTGACTGTTTGTTTCATATGTGATATAACATCAGGTGTACACATAGAAAATATTGTTTTTTCATATGGTTTTACATTGCCAATATCAAGTTCTTTTACTGTTCGACCAAGACCTATGTTTCAAAATACAATAGAATTATTTCGTCTATGATTCTTTTGTTTGTTTTTTTCTTTAATAATAATTACCTTTTGGATATTGTTCAGTAACTACAAAAGGAACATCGAGTATTTTACATGCTTGTAATAATTTATTAGATGTTTCAATAATTTGAGGATAGTATTTAATTGTTGAACGAAATTTTTCTTGCATATCACATAATAAAAGAAGTGATGTTTGACGTGAAAGACGTGCTATACGTTGAGCCATATTTAATTTAGCTTAATAATTTCGCAACAAAAAAAAAAACTTGGCTGATGACCACTATGCAACGTAATACATTCGTATTTTCATCAATGATGGTCTCATTGGCTACATAAACAACCATAACACTTGAGTGTTAACCTCTGAAATTCTATGATTATTGATTATATTGATTATTAATTGAAAATTGTAATATTTTTATTATTGATAAAAAGATTTTTATTTTCATATTGAAATCGATTAGTTTTCTGTTCTGTTTTGGATATTGGTATTCTATGGAATATGATGAATATTTGTTTTTTTTTGTCGTGATCTATTTACATTCACTATAATTGAATTTTTGGAAATCATATTAATAATTAAAATGATTCGATAGAAATATTCTTTGTCATTATTAATATTCATTTTATAGTAAGAATGAAATATTGGTGATAGTCTATATAAAGAATAAGGGGCCAATCGGTTCTTTTTTTTGTTTTTATTAATAGAAGCTTCGCTTGTTATTTTCGTTCTATATATAAAATAAACAATTCGTAGATTACTTTATCTATTGAATATTGCATTTTAACAAAAACGTATGATTGACTTCACCTTTAATATCTTATCTAATATACAAATTCTAATCAAAATCACTAACACATCAATAGTTTCAATGTGAATATTACCCTTAAAAAAAATACACTTTGAATTTTTCGTTTTATAAAAGACCCTAGATTATATAATAAAATGTTTTTTTTTTTTTTTTGTTGAGAAATATAAATCATTACAAAATTTAATTATTATTATCTGAACGTTTCATCTTTCTAAAAGGAAGTTTCTGGAACCGAATAATTTTTTTTGAGACAAAAAAAAAAAACAAGCCAATTTTTTTCTGTCTTCATTGTAAAAGTGCATAAAATTTTTGAAATTTCTTTATTTCAAATGCAAAATTTTTATTATTAATATAAAAACAAAAGATGATGAATTTTTTTTCTTCTTCTTTTCCATTTATTCTAGAACTTTACACCCATTATTACTGCATAGTAAAGAAGAAAAAAAAAATAACTAGTTCCTCTTTTCTATTTATTGTGATTCTTTCATTTCTTTTTTTTCTTCTTTTCTTTCACTCATTCGTTATTTTTCTTCATACCAAAAGCAGAAAAGAAAGGGCGTATTTATTATTTTTTTTTCTCGACATCTCCCCTGTCGTTAACAATATTCCATTTTTATTTTTTATGATCTATTGCGCCTTAAAAAATAAAATTAATTTTTTTTATCATAGTTACTTTATCTATTATAGAAAAATCATTTTTCTGTTCTATTACATAAAACAAGGTAATGGTAGGCGTTTCATTAAATAATCCCAATAAGGCTGATGATAAAGAACAATTGGTTGAAACAAATAGTGCCGATGTTTTTGTTACTGTTTTAGTAAGTTTCTTGTTAAATGGATTTGAAAGAAAAATTTGAATTTTTGTTTTTCATTTTTCTTAGCCAATTAAAGGTGAACAAGATGAAAATCCAATACCACCAGTAGCGGATGTTCGTCGTAAACAAGCATCAATTTTATTTGGTTGTCTTTCGGCATTATTTATGCTCGGATGTTTAGTTATTGGAACATGGCTTCTTTTTGATTTTATTAATCGTACAAATCATGTAAGACAAAAGAAAAAAAAATCTATATATATATATATATATATATTATTCAAATTTTAAACGAAAAATATTTTAGACATGGCGTCGAACATGTCGTTTTCGTGTTAAACCAATGGATAAAGATTCTGATGCACCGATTTTCTTTGATCATGGTGGTTTAACCGCATTTGATGATGGTAAAAATCAACTTTTGACACCTTCAAAATCAACAAATGTTCCACAGGAATTCCATCAGGAAGTACGTAACATTTTAATAAACATATTTCCTGTATTAGATAATTTTCAGTTAATTTTTTTTCGAACAAACTATGTTTTATATTGAATAGAAAAGAGACATTTACTCTAATGAAAAATTAGATAAAACTCATGAAGTCATTAGTCAGTTCTATTAAATATTACTAATAACTTTGATCTTAAAATACTTTAGTAAAAAATCCTTTAATAAGCTTGTATTATACAATATTTCAGTTTTATTCAATGTATTTTGGTGAGAAAATTCTTTTTTCTTTGACTGAATAATGCATTTTAAGAATGGTTTTGCTTTATTGCTTAAAACAAAAAATTTCATTATTCTAATTACTATAAGATCCTTTTACTTAATGAAAGAGTATTATTTCTTCTTCTTCTTCTTCTTGTGCGCAGAATGAGATTAAATAAAATTTAATATATATAGATTTTCATTTTATGTTTTAATCATAGGTAAATGTTGATCTTAAAAAGAATGTTGAAACAATCGAAGTACCACAAATCGGTTTTACAAGTACTGTTCGTATAATTGAAGATTTTGATCATGTAAATATTTGTCATACAAAAAAAAAAAATCCTTATTAATAAATCTATTTATTAATAGAATATTACTGCTATTCGTGATTTTGGTGTAAATAAATGTTTCATTATGCCACTTGATCGTCAACATGTACCAAATCCGGCTAATCTTATTGAAACATTTTTGGCTATGATGGTAATGAAAAACAAAAATAAAATCTATCAAGACTTAAAAAAGAAAATATGATAAATTTTGTTTTCTTTTTTTTTTTGTAGTCCGGACAATTTTTACCTGATAATGAAGTTTTACGTAAAACAATGAAAGTTCAAACACCAGCTTTAACTGAAGCTGATGTTGCTATGTATGGTCCTATTGTTGCTAATACATGTCCAAAGGAGATTAAAACATATCGTCTTGTTCCAAAAACAGCTGAAGAAATGAAAAGTAAGTTTTTTCTTTTTTTTAAATTTTGTTTTATTTCTTTTTTTTTTTTTTGTGTCATCAGATCGTCGACGTCGTTCACCAAATGGTTTATCATTTGTGTACTCAGTTGGTGAACGCGCAATGATGTTTGAGATCGACCATTAGATAACATTCAAATCAAAAAAAAAAACGATCTGTCTTTTTTTTTCTCTTTTTTGCCAATTAATCAAAATAATTTTTATTTCATTCTCTCATTTTGACTTTTCTCTTTATATATATATTTTTTTCTTTTACTTTCTAATAATTCTCATTGTCTAAAATTTTCTTTGATTTTATGTGCACTAAATTCGTCTGTTTCATTCTCTTATATGTTGTTCGTGAATAAAAAATATAAAAAAATCAAATTTTTGGCGAGTAAAACGTCGCCATATAAAATACTTCAAGTAGTCTGTATTTGTTGATGAACATGTCTAACACAGTAGTGTGAATAACGCACTTTTAAATGATAGAAACATAATAACTACTGTTGTGTTTTGTGTGTGTGTGTTCATGATTATATTAACAAGGTGATTAATTGTTTGCTAGTTGTGATGAATGTATAACAAAAAAGCAAGCATTGACAGATTGTGTGTACATGTATGTATGTGTGTGTGTTCAGGATAAAGAAAGAAAAAGTGGGATTGCACAACTTACTAGTTGATCGTTTGAGTTATAAAAATGACAGAAGAATAAGAGAAGGAAAAAGAAAAGAACGGACAACTAGTGATGTAGCAAGTTGGTGTCAAAGGACTAAGACATATAGTAGAGATGACTCGTCTAGTTGAGTCATTGGACCACTTTTTCTCTATCGCTTCTATCTCTGTTCAATAAATTCTAAGAATTTTTTTTCGAGCTATTGATAATATATGTGACCTAAGACCATTTCTTATCTATTTCATTCCATTTTTTTTTATCAAATGTACTGATCGATATTATCTTGACACGTATGCTAAATTTTTTATCGTTTCTTTAGTAGTAATTCTTCACATCAGGAGTAAATCACCTGATGATGATATATGTCATAGTATAGTTAATGATTGAGGTATTTAAAGAGTGTATGAGAAATAAAAAGGGTGACCTTGTCATTTTTGTGTGCTCTATTATAGAGAAGCCAATAATAGACGAGCGTATATTAGTGAAGGAGAAAAAAAATCGGCAGGGAACAACAAGGACAAGAATATCAACATAGTAAGGCGAAAGTCTATAGCTTATTTTAGATCGATATGACTACTATTGAAGTAGTCGGTCGATCTTTTTCTGACGCTCTCTATGAACGTTATTGTGATTTTGATTCAACATTTGATGAACTTAAAAATGATTGTGACATTTTCTTTTTTGTTGGTCCATTACCGAAAAAGACAGGTAAAAACAAAAAATAAATAAATTTTTGATTAAATTAATAAATTATATTCGTCTATTTATAGAAACAGGTCTTGTTCTTAATACATCAACAGTTGTTTTAACTGATGAACGTATATCACATGTTGGTGATCCTCATGCTATAGAAACAGCATGTTCACAAGTTGAACTTCTTGATATTTCATCAAATGCATTTTCCAATTGGCATGAAGTCTGGTTTTATTTATTCAATTGATTGATCAAAAAATTTTTTTTTTGTATTAATTTATTTAGATATCACTTCTTCTTTCATCATTACCTCATGTTAAAACAATTAATCTTAGCTTTAATCCATTTCCATCTCATCTACATATATTATCTGATAAAATTCAATGGCCTAATCTTAATACATTATGTTTAAATGGAAGTTATATTAGTTTTGAAATGATTATTGAAATACTTAAAAAAACATTAAAGTTAGTAGAAAGTAATTCATAAGCTATCAAAACAAAATAGAAAAAAGTCATAGAGTTTGATATTTTTGTTTTTTAAAAACATGAATCAAACTTGACAAATAAAAAACTTTTCAGTGATTTATTCAAGAAAGAAATTATGCTTTCATTTAGATTCTAAAAAAAGAGTAATATTTAACTTTAACCTTTTTGGGGTAAAAAAAAATAAATAAATAAATTCATATCAGTTTGAAAGGAACGCAGTTTATGGTCTTCTATGATGAAAAATTATGACTACTCTGATAATAACAAGGTATATGATATCAAATCACAAAGAAAACAATGCAAGTTGTTTTTTAGGGGCTCTACATATCCAATATAAGATAAAGAATGAGATAAAAATGAATAACTGAGGTCATACGTACTCTGACTGATCGTCAAAAAGATTCTTAACCGACATCTTTGTCAAGTTATAGCTGATTCTAATCATTATTCCATATATTGAAATAGAATCTAATTGTCTCGTTCCTCATTAAATTTACTTTAATAAGAAAAGAAAGCTATGAAAATTATAAATGTAAAAAGCTTGTCGAACATGCACTAGACATTATGTATAATCTTCTTAATATGACGATAATTCAAAATATATTCGTTGATATATTTTTTAGTTTAGAAGAATTACAAATTTGTTCAAATAACTACACAATAATATCATCAGATTATAATTTTATACATAATAATCTTAAACGTATTTATATATCAAATAATAATTTAACTGATTGGAAATCAATATGTCATCTTGGTTTTTTATTTCCACGTTTAGAAACATTAATAGCTAGTGATAATCCTTTAAAAAGTTTTCGTTCAGATGATGATGTTACAATATGTTTATTAAATTTACATACACTTAGTGTTGATCGAGTTCAAGTATCAGAATGGAATGATATTATTGCATTGACAAAATTACCTTGTTTACATGCATTAAGAATTTATTCAGCACCACTTCTTAAGGTTTTATATTTTATTTTATTTTATTTTTTTTTTGTTTTTTCTTAAAAGAAAAAAAAAAGAACAAAACTTGTTTTTTTAGTCTTATCAAAAAGATGAACGATTTTTTCTTTTACTTGGATATATGAAAAATCTTAAAAAATTAAATGGAAGTGATATAACAGCAAATGAAAGAGAAACAAGTGAAAGACGATTTATTCGTTATTATTCTCAACGTGATGATAAACCACAACGGTACATAAAAACGAATTCTTATTAATTAATATTATAAAAATTTCTTTTTTTTTTTTTTTTTTAATAGATATTTTGATTTAATTGAAAAACATGGTAATCTTAAACCATTAGTTGATATTCAAATTCATGCACCTTATTTAATACAAGTACGTCTTATATATAATCAAATAATATATGATAAAGAAATTGATATTCGACAAACGGTACAACAATTTAAAAAATATCTTCAAGAAATTTTTCAAATACCATTCAATCGTTTACGAGTTTTTTATATTGATGATGTAGCTTTTAATATGGGTATATGTGGACCGGAAGAACTCAAATATCCACAGCGATTATTACATACGTATGTTAATAACAGTCATTGAGTATATCTCATATCTGCGAAGAATTATAGACTCGTTGATTACATAAAGAACAACAACAAAAGATATTGCGAAATTGAGAAAAGTTACAATATCAATATGGTATTGAGGTATTGATTAATGTTAGTACTCAGTGTTTTATTAAGATTTTTGTCTTTCGAAAAGGCGATTTAAAACTCTGAGAAGAGTGAACATCTATTTTTAGAAGCACAGTCATATGGTATGTGGTACAACAACCACAAACTCTGCGAAAATCAACCAGATCTTCAGAGGGGGTCGCCTCCATCTCGACCTTCACACTGAATAAAACACTGCTAGTACTAACACGAATTAATAGGAAATATCATTCAATACCAAGTGATATTAATCCAGCGAAAATAACCCATTGGTTACCGACATAAGAAAGAAAAAAGAATTTTTAAGAAAATTCGCTATAACTATTTATGATGTAACTCTAGCGTGTACTATAACAAAATGATGATATAAAAACTTCTACTGCCTGATGTTTCCTTTGATATGAATGTATATAGAAAAAAAACATGCATTATGAGTGATTGTGTTAGTTTCACACAATGATATAGCTCGTGACATATATATATGCGTCGTTGATAAGCAAACGGTTAAATAAATTTCTTTCTTATCAAATTTACCATTACAATTCTGATAATTTAATCTGCATAAAAAAAGAAAGTTATTAGTGCAATCCCTGTGCGATTTAAATGTGAAACACGATATAGTTGTTATTGCTAACTACAGGAAGATTGCTTTATTCTTTATATATATATTTTGGTACACATATCACCATCCTTTTACTTAATACTTCAGACATATAATGAGAAAACAGTTCGTATGTTAGAACGAAGTACTATTGATAGATAGTCTGTGATCGTATGTCGACAATGTCACGCAATCTTTGAGGGACAGAGGTGAGTCTAAAGTCTATTATTATCATTGATATCATGTCAATCTTTAAACTTCCATATTAGTAAACATGTTACATATGTTATAGAATTCTTTTTTGCGCAGTATCATTTATAAAACTTGGTACGTGATCTTTTGGAATGAAACAACAGAGAATCAATCAATTAATAAATGCATGTATTTATGTACAACTATTTGTCAAAAAATTTTTCTTAAATTTTCTTTGAGATAATATATGATTTTCACAAAGAATCAATCTTAGAATATTGTGCAAAAAAAATCTGTTCCGCAACAAAACATAAGACTCTTCGAAAAACAAATGTCATATAATATGTCACAATATTCCCAAAAAACATGTAAATAAAGAACGTCCTGTATTTGTCTCGTACTGTCTATAAAGAAGATATATATAGCCATTTAGATACTGTTCTACTATACACAGACGCACGCATAATTCAATTAAATACCATAGAGAATGCGGATAATAGTATATATGTCATGTAGAGAAGCACTGCCGTGTGTGAAGAAGCTTCTAAAATATTCTCAAACATTCCTTAAAGCCTATATTCAAATGTAATAAAATTCACCAAAAAGCTTATTTTGAATGTAGATCACATGCGCATATGCGTACGAAGTATTTGTGTTATGGATTTTTTTTTCATATCTAAAATAATTTATTATCATGACTTGTTTTAATTCAATTCAATAGAATAGATTGGAAATTCAATGAATTAAAATTAGTTATTAATCATTGAACTAATTCAGAATAGTTTCATGAATATTTATAGGAAGAAAATATTTCAAATATTCTATTGTCTTTTAATTAGATAAGATTATCTTTTTTCTAAAATGTTTATTATTCAATATTAAATAGAGAAAATTTTCGTTTTATTCTATTTTTTTCCTAATAAATAATCATATCTTTATTTGTATCAAATAAAGTAATTTTGATTGTCAATGAAGTACGACGAAATATTCTATCATAACCTTGAAAAGAGTCTATCTATTTTTGTAATTCAATAAGATTAATTCTTATCAAAAAAACAAAAACAAAAACAAAAAAATCTATTGATTTTTTTTTCTTATTCCTAGGTCTATTGTTCTTAATGAAAATAAATTTGATACATTTATCTATATATTTCAATAATTTTATTATTTAGATATAATATACATGATGGAGATCAATTTCATGTTGATCTCAAACCTGATCCATTCAAATCTCAATATTCAAATCGAACAGGTAGAAAATCAAAATAAGATAATTGAAAAAAAAAAGAAATATATATTTCTTTTCTTGTTTTTGTCTTAAATTAGTTGATATAACTCGTAATACACATGAAAAAAAATTAACTAATAATTCAACATCATCTGAAGATGATAAAAAACTTTTACCATTTTCATTTGATTCTTTACAAAATTTATCAAATCAAAATGATACAAATATTCTTCAATCATTTATTCAACTTGATCAATTTTATTCTTCTATTGATAAGAATTCTCAAATTCTAAAACAAAATTCTAATAATGATGATGATGATGATTTACTTTCAGCTGCAGCAGTTGTTTGTACTCAAATGAAAAAGAACTAACCGAAAAAGAAAATCATATTATACTCTATATAGTATATGTTCATCTTCTATTGCTGTGATCGAAATGACAACAGTATTATTTCAAACTCTTGCACTTCGATTACATACATGAAATTTTGTATTAATATTGTGAATAATATTTTTTACTTTAGTCGAGTTCGACATGTAAATATCGTCTTATGTCAAAATTTATTGAGAATATTCATTAAAAACAACAACTATTCAAACTAATGTTGACATATACTTATAGATTGGTCGTAATACATAAGAAAAACAAAAATCATCATACAATATGCGTCTATTGATGCAGTAGCGCGTGATATGCAATGGCACAGTGTTCTTCATACAATACTCGAAATGAATTAGTCTGTTTATGAATAGAAACTTTGCTCTAAATTTTATTTATACGCAGCTATTTGAATGAATGATAGAATATTTTTAAACCAGATATCTAAAAGACAAGACAAGGATCACCTACATAAATGATTGATAACAACTATGTCAATTATGAGTGTTTTGAAAAATAGATTATTTATTCTTATCATGTGTCTTTTGTGGTCTGTAGAGCAAGAAACAAAATGCGTAATAGCGATGTTTTTTTTCTAATCTATTGACAGAAAAACAATCTGCTTGAAAGGAGATAATAAGTACTATAAAGTAAATACAAAACCCACCGCCAGATGTAATCACAAAAACAATTTTTATACATAGTACGTTAAAATATTCTTTATATGGGTAAATGATTTATTGATTAGATTTGTTGTTTTGTCAGTAATGTTTTTGTACTATTGTCCAGGTCAACAAGAAAAATTTGTTATTTGTGTTTCAATCACAACTGCATGTGTTCTACTTTTACTCTTTCTCATATTCATTCTTCATCTATATTTTCTCATAACAGAAATAGCAACGAGATTACGGAGACCATTAAACAGTCAATTAATAATTTGCACTGTCATCATCACAGCAGCAATAGAACGAGCAAAATGCAGAAAGAAAAAAAAACATCATTGTCGGTACATGTATTGTCGCAATACCTAGTCATGGTAAAGAATCAAGGCGAATTGTTTTTATTTTTCTATTCTTTTTAATTATGATTGATTAGAATCTAGCAGCTGTTTTTTTATTCTATTTTATAAATAAGAGTTGAACTCTATGCTCATTCTTTTGGTTAGTTTTTATGCTCTTGAAGGACAAAAAACAAAAAAGAACGATCTTTTATTGATGTTTTCTTTTTCCTTTCTCTCGAATAGAATAAGAACAGAAAAAAAAAAAGAAGGCGTTCTCTCAAATTCCAAAGCAAAATAAGGAAGAGAAAGAGAAAGAGAGAAAAAGAGAGAGAAAAAAGAGAAATATAAGGATATATAATCAAAGTATGACATAGCATATATTCTCCCATCTATCCTTTTCTTTTTCTTTCACTATCGCCCCATTTACAAAGTAGAATCGAGATATTTATTTTATTACAATTGCAGAAAAAAAAAATCCTACATTTTCTAGCAATCGTAATTTAATCAAGTGTATTATTTCTGGTTTAATCCAATGAACACTATCACTACTAATGATCAATGCGGCCTCGATCTTTGTAAACGTAAAGAAGTTGTTATTATAGGTATGTATTAATATTATATTATTTATATTGAATTAAAAAAAAAAACAAACAAAACATTCAATTTTTATAGGCAACGGACCATCTGCTATAATTCTATCTTATATTCTTTCTGGTCATATACCTTATTGGAATGGATGTCCTGTATCAAATGATTATTTAAATATCAAATTAGAACAATATGTTAAAGATACATCATTACTTGAACAGGTTAGATAAGTGAAATGAACTTAATAACTTTTTATGGAAAGAAAAGTCACTAAATGATATTTTTCTGCACGACCTTAGAAAAAAAAAAAAGATAAAAGATCAACCTAAAGAACTCTTATCCAAACACAGGTCATCTATTGTTATCTTTGTTTTTTTGTTTAAACATTTTTAACGGATAAGAATCGTTGGTTTTTTTTAGGATTTAGAATTTTTATCTGATGGACTTGAAGGTCGTTCAAGAAATCCTGTTTCATTACTTATCGATAATTTATTACATCCAGATGCTGATCTTGGTGCACATTTACAATCAAAAATAAAATGGCGTCATGATCCATCATTAAGTATAGATCATATTTGTATTGGACGTGGTGGAGTTGGTGGTGTTTGGAATAAAACAACATCAAAACAATTACAAACAATTAGTATGGCCGATTGGATGGAATTACCAAATTATCCAATGTCTACATTTCGACAACAACGGCGAGCAGCTCGATGTAATTCATTAACAAATAATCAAGAAACAACAACAACAACAACAACAACAAATAATGAAAATCAATTTGGACGAGCAACATATGATGAAGTTCATTCATATTATATTCATTATGTTAAAAGAAATCGTTTAACAAATTATTTTCGTAATGGTTATGAAATAACATCTATTGAACGTGTTTGTATTGATGCACCATATTATGATGATGTAAATGAAGAAATTCGTACACCTCAACCATTATGGGAAATACGTGGTTATAATGAACAAGATAAAACTCCATTTGTATTACATGCTAAATATGTTGTATTAGCAACAGGTACGCCACAAAAAATAACAAGACCATTAGGAATTATTGGTGAATCAGCAAGTCAATCATTTACTTATACAAATTTACATGATATTGAAGACCTTATAAATAAAAAACGATTAACTAATAATAGTAAACCTTTACTTGTTGTTGGATGTGGTCTAACAGCTGTAGATATACTTCTTTTATGTCAACAATATTTAATACCTGTTTTACATGTATTTCGTCGTGCTATTGATGATCATGAACTTGTATTGAATCAATTACCTGCTAATATTTTTCCTGAATATGAACGTATAAGAGAATTAATTCGACAATCAACATCTACAACAACATCTATGGTAGGTTAAAAAAAATATATTTATTTTATCGTAGTAAAGACAACAAATTTATAATAATATTGAAACTAAACTTTTCATTTTGTTTTAGTCTTCTTCCGTTTCTTCCTCGTCATCATCTCAATGGTCTTATCAATGTTATCCACAAAGTGAAATTATATCAATTACCGAAGATGGTACAGTACATATTCGTAATCTTCGTACACACATAACAACAGACTGTGATATATCATTCGTGGCTAAACTTACTGGAGCTGATGTGACTATACCTTTTCTTTCATCGTCAAACACAAAAAAATATAATGGCCTTCAAATTAATCCATATACTTATGAATGTATCGATTATGAAAATGTTTATGCATTAGGTCCATTAGCTGGAGATAAACTTGTTCGTTTTTTACAAGGTGGTGCTCTTGCATGTGCAGCAAGTCTGTTTAAAAAACATCGACAAGCATCATCGAATAATAATAATAATAATAATAATAGAAGACTATCATTCTCTGTGACTTCTCGAATTAGAGTTGCTTCATAGTTGTTTTGTTTCTTTTGTTGTTGTTGTTGTTGTTGTTTTTTATCTGATTTACTATGACTAAAGATGAATCATAACGTTTTTTTTTTTTAAAAATAAAAATCAAATATTTCTTTATAATATTAATAATAATATTTGTGTATATTTGAATAAAATGAAAATAAATAATTATTTTTTTTTATTATGAGTACAAAAAGCTTGTGGTTTCTGCCTTTCTATAAATGGATGAATGCATTTGTAAAGGTGTTTTTCCATTATTTTCGATTATAATGTACATTTCAAGGTACACTATTGAATACGAACAAATATGAAGCGTCAAATTAAGTACAAATGTGATTATAATTAATATTTGTTTACTAGAAAATTATCACTTGTTTCGCTAAGTTTAGAATGACCGTCAATGGTCTTTATCAATTAATCAATATGATAAACATCAAATTTTATTTTATCCTTGAATATTATCTATAATAATCTTCGTGTTTCTTAATAAATATTTGCCCTTGTTCAGACCTTAGTGATTCATTGAATACTCATTGACATTCAGATGAAAAAAAAAATATATATCGAATGAAATATCCTGATTCATATTCGATATTGAAACAAAAATTGTATCCTTCGATAAACACATATGGATATTCTTTATTACATCATATGACTAATTGAATATACAAAAAGAAAAAGATTCGAAATTTGAATTAAATTGATAGACAATATGTTTCGTTTTGAAAACATATTTGGAACAAAAATAACAGCAATTTATATGTTTAGAGAAATAATTGATCGCATCGAAACAAAATCATAGCAGAAGATTTTGATTAAACACTACATTTTCTGCAAGCTTCCTTCTAACTGAAATTAAATATAATTGATTTTAATAGGACTCCTACAGTTTTCTATAAATAAAATCAATATACAATCGTTTCAATTAATCTTAAAGAGCTATGAGGTGTTATTTTATCGCTCCTAGTATAATATAATTATGTGAAATCAAAATTTTTTTCTTGTTACCAAGATATTTTTCAACAATATTTACGGTTTCTTGATTTTTTATCTAGGACGATTATATTGACCTTTCTTTTTTTTATGTATTTAATTAATTCTCTGACTAAATGTTTGAATCAGCACGCATCTATTCAAATATTATTAAGTGAGATATTTATCTATAGTTTCAATTCTTGGCGATTGAAATAGAACAAGTAAACAATGTGAACTTTGAGTACAAAAATCAATTACTTCCTTCTAATTAACATTAATGTAATCAATTATTAAAATTTTTTGACATACATAATAAAATGCTTCGTTTTCTTTATTTCGAGTTTATTTTTCAATTTACATAAAACATTTCATTGCAATTATCATAAATAAATCATCAAAAATTATAATTACTTGCTAGACAATATAAGAACCTTTAGGCTACTAAAGAAATGATAAGTAATAGATCGAACAAAGTTAAGATCAATCATGTGTAAATATGACTATATTTCTTAGGCAATATAATATATCATAAAAAGAAAAATATTCAATTGATGTAAAATAAATTACCTGTAATAGTGAATGATATAATCATTAAGTACAAAATATTCTAAATAAAACATGAATATTTTCTTTTTTTAAATATTTATTTATCAAATAGAAGAAATTTTTATTGTTGTAGATTTTTATTTACATTCAACTCATAATGAATAACTTAGATGGAAGTAATATAAATATATCTGTTTTATCATCGAATGATGAAGTAATAAATACTTCAAATACTGATCAAAATACTGAAAATGAAAATAATATTGATCCAAAAGATGGTTATTCATCACATTATACATCGATTTTTTATCCATTTGCAGGAATGATACGAGATGTTAAAATACGTTTACCTTATTATTTATCTGATTGGAAATTAGCTATATCTTATCGAATATTTGCTGCAACAATTCGTATCTTTTTTCTTAATACAATACCAGCATTAGCTTATGCTCTTGATTTATATTTACGTAGTGATCATTATTACGGTGTTAATGAAGCTTTACTTTCATCAGCACTTGGAGGTTTGAAAGAATTTTAACAAAACAAATTTTTTCAAAATCATATTTTATTGAAATCAATTAGAAATATGAGATCTCATTTTTTTTTCTAGAACAAGATAGAAAAGAAATCTTTTAGAGTAAATATAGCATTGAACGAGATCAAAATAGATTTTGATAATTTCGCTGATGTTTAATGAGAATACGGTCAGTCGCTTTCGAATTGTGAAGCTTGAATTTATACAGTGGGATCAAAAAATTAATCATACAGATTTTATTTCGATCTTTTCGGTGATGGTAACTTCCATAAAAGAATTCAAATAGTGATTTGAATAGAGAAAATTATTTCCAAGGAGAATTTGAAGAGAATAATACCTTCGAATTATTTCCCAAAGCCAGAATCTCTATAATATCAATAAACCTATTTTTTCAGCGTACAGAATTCGAAAATACAAGCTTCTTCTGATTATACGGAGCGGCAGAGCCGACAAAAAGAACTTTTGGGGTTCTCTTAAAATTTATGTAATTCAGTCAAAAAATTTCGTGAAGAGCTCAGAGACATTTCATTTTGTACAGAATTAGTCACTCTGTCACCCATGCAATCAAGAGAAGCTGTTATCTTCAGGTTCTGGGTTCTAAAAAACTAGGTTTTGGATTCTCTAAAGATCCTAGTTATTGAAAATATTGAGAAGATTTAATTTCTCTTAAATCCTTGTTGAAAACGATATTTTCTATTCAAGTCATTATTTGAATTCTCTTTATGTCAGTTAACATCACAGAAAAAAAAATCAAAATTAAATCAGTATGATCAATTTTTGAAGCCACTATATAGGAGTTTTCGTTTTCTAACAAATTGTCAAATGTCCATTGACTTTAATTTGAGATCGTTAGCAAGAATGTTATCTATTGGCTTCAGGATATGTCTTCAGGTGTATTTTCTTTAGGTATTGTCTTTGGTCTATTGGCTGTACAACCTATTTCAATAGTTGGTTTCACTAGTTTGATTAGTTTATTTAATTATACAACATATAATATAATCAGTAGATATACTCAAGTACCTTATTTATCGTTTATGTGTTGGGTAGCTATATGGGCAGCTATTCTTCATTGGCTTATTGCTATATTTAATATGGTAACATATGTTCGTTATATGACAAATTTTACTGCTGAAATATTTGGTTTTTATGTTGGTATTGTTTATATTCAAAAAGGTATTGAATTTATTCTAGATGATTTTCGAGAATCATCAACAAAAGGTTTTATGTCAGTGTTAGTTGCTTTTGGTTTCTTTTTTTCATATTGGATATTAACACATATCGGTCAATCGAGTTATTTTACACGATCAATTCGTGATTTTCTTGTTGATTATGCTATGATTATCAGTGTTATTTTTTGGTCAGGTTTTACTTTCATACCAGGTCATTTACGTTCAACAAATATTGAACGTTTATCAGTAACATCTGCTTATAAACCAACTATATCTAGTCGTTCATGGTTTATTAATCCATCTAATTTAGATGTTAAATATATTTTTATTGCATTACCATTTAGTTTACTTGTTACAGCTTTATTTTATTTTGATCATAATGTTTCAAGTTTAACAGCTCAAGCTAAACATTATCCATTACGAAAACCAGCAGGATTTCATTGGGATTTTTTTTTATTAGGATGGACAACAATTATAGCTGGTTTTCTTGGTTTACCATATCCAAATGCACTTGTTCCACAATGTGCTATGCATACAGATGCACTTGGTCGTTGGAAAATAACTGAATCTGTTGAAAATCAAGTACCAACAGCTGTTATTACAACTCATAAATCACGTCGACCAGTACAAGAATATGTTTTAGTTAAAATCAAAGAACAACGTTTAACAAATACATGTCAAAGTTTACTTTGTCTTATTACAATGACTGGTCCATTTCTTAAATGTTATTCTTTAATATCACGTGCTGTATTAGCTGGTGTATTTATTGGTATTGGTTGGGGTTCAGTTGAAGTTAATGCCATAACACATCAACTATTACATCTTATACGTGATCCTAATCATATGAAATTTGATGATTCACTTCTTCGACTTTCTCGTAAACGAATTTTTATGTATACATTAACAATGTTAATTGGTTTTGCTATACTTTTTGCAATATCACAAACAATAGCTGCTATTGGATTTCCTATACTTGTTTTACTTTTAATTCCATTTCGAATTATAATTTTAACAAAATGGTTTACACAAGAAGAATTAACTATTCTTGATTCACCTGTTGCAAGTTCACTTCCACTTGATTCTATTGGTGGTCTACCGGAAATATTGAAACCAATAAATTTAGAAACGAATTTTCATTCGTAGAATGCTTTGTTATTTGTGAAAATTAAAAAATATTTTTTTTCTTCATATTTTACACTGAACTGTATATTTTAATAGAACGTATAAAAGATAGTGACTTGTTTTACCTTGATTGTATTATTTTCTATTAAGAACTACTTTAATTGTTCAGGAGTATAAGAATTTGAAGAATCAAATGTTAGAAAACTAATAAATTAATCTTGTGCGTTAATGTGGTAAAAAGAACGAGAATAAAAAAAATACAAATACAATTTTTTTATGGTGATTTTATTTAGTTTTTTTCATTTAAATTTACATATATAGATGAAAACTCTGAGTATAAGTTGGCATGGTCTTCTGTAGTCTTATAAAGACTTGTCTCTGTTCAACACCCCGCTTTGTGAACACCTCTTGTCGATATTACCAATCAATAATATAATATTTGAAATGTTAATTTAATTAATAGAATCTCGTAAGAATATATTTGATTAAGTATAATTTCTTATGTACACATAGTTTAATTTTTATTAAGTTTGAAAACTTATAAAATATTTCTACTATACTCGAAAGTTCTATTTTATATACAGTTGCATGGAGAATAATCTGAACCATAAAATTTAATGAATGTCATTTTGTATAGAATTGTTGATGAGAATTTTTTGACCATTATTGTTCTATTTAGAATAGAAATTTATTTGTTTTTTTTTTGTTTATTGGAACTATCAATTTGATTTTAGTTTCTATTTTATTTTTTATTTGCAATGATTTATAGAATTTTAAATTGATCACTTCATAATAAGTTATTATTATTCAAAATATAGGGAAAATGTATTCTTAGCATAGATTATCTTGTCATGTATTTACACTTTCAACAGGAAATCATAAAGTAAAACAGTATTTCATAGTCTTTATGTCTTCATTCAAGGATCAATTAAATAATTAACAATTAGAAAACTATTCTGTATAAATAGTTAAAGATATCTTTTATTTGTTTTCTTCTCAATAATTTCTACAAATAACTAATATATATTTTATAAAATTTTGATATGTTTCATTCACAGAATATACTTAAAAATCTAATTCTATAATGGCTTAATCAATAATCACGTTCTGCTGGTGGTCGATAAGGTAATTTTAAATATTGAAATATTGATTCTTCAGTTGGTGTTGGTACTAATCGACCTTCATTAACTTTATTTTTTCCCTAAACAAAAGTTTATTCTATTAACAACAACAACAAAAAAAAAATGTCCATCAAATTTACCATTCGAATAACACCAACATGAAGACGATGTTGTGATAAATACATATTATTTTCATCAGCTAATTGACGCATTGAACGATTGAATAACATTGAACCAGTAAAATAAAGTAAAGCACATGCATGTTCAGCATATGGAACAATTATAATATCAATTCGACGTGACTAAAATCAATTATTAAAGTTTATCAAAATAATTTTACTAGAAATGTAACAGTGACGGTGATCACCGATCTAGACATGCACACATAGAATAATAGCGAATGCAGTGAACGTATGATAGTCTATTTCAAGTAGATAGCTGAATTTTATAAACCATGAGAACTAACGAAGAAACTTCTCTAGATGTTCTATACATGCATGTTTCGACTAGTGCACTATTGCATCTCTAAATTCTACTAAAAATCTTACCAAATGATTTTCACCTGGCAATTTACATACACCAAAATATCGAAAATGTGCTCTTTTAAAAAAAAAACAATTTCATTCAAAATTAATGAACAACAATCGTTCTAATTTATTACCCTGGTTCTTCATCATGTTTATCTGTATAAACAAGATCATCAATAAGAAAACCTTTTTGCAAAAAAAACAAAATTTCCATAATGAAAATTTTATAAATAAAATATTTATTACCACTCGCTTTTAATTTATCAACAAGTGGAAAAAGTAAATGTTCATGTGAACTACCATCACGATGAGATATTAATATATCACAATCACCACATGTTACTTTACCTCGTCGATATGATCCACATGTTTGTATTAATAAACCAGGTCGAATAGAGTCAGCTGCTTCTCTAACCTATTAAAAATTTAAATTTATAATTAAATTCTTTTTCATTGTTTCTTTTCTTTTTTTGTTTTTTACATACAACATTTTCAATTTGTGTAACTTCATCTCTTGGAATACGTTCAAGAAATTCAGAATAATATTTTAATCCAATCATCTGATTATGTGTTAATTTAGCTTTTGTTCGAAGATCATCTAATGTTCGATACCCCTTTATTTATCAAAAAACAAAAAAGAAAAAATATTATTAAAGAATTCAAATACAAAATAACATACAAGATCAACCCATCGTTTTGCTTGTGCTGGTCCAATACCCCAAATTTTTCCAAATAAATCCATTACAGCAATATCAGCATCTGTTTGATATTCTTCTAATTTTATCATACTACCTGTTTCCATGATTTCAACAATTTTTTCTGCTAAACGTGGACCAACACCAGGTAACATTCGAATTTCCTATTAACAAAAACAAAAAAAAAAACATTCAAATTTTTGATAATGAATATATATATATAAATATACTTCATAAGTAGTTACGGGTCGATGACATTTTTTTAAAGTACTTATAGCTTTTTGATAACCAAATGCACGCCATTTATCATTTGAATTTCGATATAAATTTGCCATTTCCTATAAAGTAAAAGAATAAAATGTAATTATTTCAAAAGAAAATTTGATTTTTACTTGAAGTTTATCAATAGCAGCTTGATTTGGATTAATTACAGGATCGACAGGTAATGCAGATGATTCACAACACATCCAATTACCTTTCTAGATAAATATATACATATATGAACAAAGTATTTTTAAATGAAACTAACCGCAAATGTGATTTCTTTGGAAGCTAATGTCTAAAACGAACAAAAAAAAAACAGATAAACAGTTATCCTACAAAATAAATTGATTTTATAAATCAGAGTCATTGTAGATATTTACGTTCAATAGAATTAAATTGTTTTATGAAACGTAATCGAAAAGTTGTGTGGAAGTATAAAAGTAAAAATTGGATTCCCTCTTCCCGATAGACTGTATATCAATAACATCTAATTATAATAAATGAATTATTTCTTTATTGCATTTCTATGGGACAATGAAGAAATATATCTCAAAATAAATAGAATAAAATAATCGTTCTGTGATTAACAATAGCAGTTGTATCATCTTTCACGTTTTAATTCCGCAAGAATTGCGCTAACAGCTTTCTTTTAAAATAAATCTCATAGAAGAAACTTGTACATTGAATCCTTTACCTTTTTGACGATAATTTGAACTATAGAATTCGAGATCATAATGCCAAATATTAAATCATAGTCAGTTTCTTTTTTTAATAAAAAATTGAGAATCGAAAACTTTTATAAGCCTCCTTATTTCAGTATTGAAAAGTACTGACTTTCAACAATGACTGAAAGTTATCTTTTAACTAAACTTTCATTAATAGTCAAAAATTCAGTTTTTCTAAGGGCAAAACGCCAGTAAAAACGTAGCTTCCGGTTATTGTCGATAGTCTAGTTGATGCCATAAATTCATCAATTAATCATGTTTGCTAAATTGAACATTCCATATAATGGTCAAAAGTCCACTAAAAACCTATTACAACGAAATTCATGTTATCTAAACATTTATTTCACTATCATATAGTTATTAATGAAGAGTTACTCAATTATCAGATATTGTTTAGTTACAAATTCATTTTTTATGACACAGGAAAGATTCTACAAGAAAATTTTTATACATAACAATATAAGATTTCATTCGAAACAAATCCTTCAAGTCGTTTCTTCATCTACTCATAATCAAAATCGAGAATTTAACTAATATTTGTCAATATTTCAATTCTATCATTTATATAGATCATACAAATAATACATACAACTAATTCTTCATCAGTTTTATTAACAACTTCATCTTCATCATAATCACTGTCTGAATTTGATCGTATTCTCGGAATAATTGACTGTTCATTACTAAATTTTGTTCGAGATATTTTTTGATTAATTGAAATATTATTTTCATTTGATATATTATTTTCATTTGATGTTTTTGTCACTTCAAATACTAATGAACGAATAAACGGTTCACGTGGTAATAATTTTTGAGCACGTAATGATTCACTAAGCCATCGTGTACTAACTAATTGTGGTATATATGAATTGGATAGATCAAGATGGAGAATTTTTTCAATAATAACATGTGTTTCAAGTGTATCTTCGACAATAACACAATCAACATTATCAATATTGAATGGTGTTATACAATCAAGAGAAAATTTTTCACATGCTTCACGAAATATAGATAAACGACCTTTGCCAATTGAGTTGGGCAATAAATATACTCGACATGTGGCATTGATCATTTCTAAAACAATGGTTTTAAAAAAAAAGAGTCTGATTTCAGACAATACTACTTACACATGCTCAAATAAACGTTGGCGAGCTCAATCTATCTAAAACAGAAAAAAAACCGTATCATAAATTGATCATTCTAATTTCATTTTTTTGGTGTATTTACACAAAAGTAAATATATATATATATTCGATCCAATGACATAATCCTTGAAATACATGAATACAAGTCTGTTTCACGGAATTTTCAATCCATTTCAAATTTCCTATTCGTTAACAAACAATCCAACACTTCATCGACTTTATTTCGTACGGAGAGAGCTAATTTTACAGGTGAATATTGTAACGATAAAATGAGAGAGAGAGATATTATGACAGACTGGAGGAGTAGCTAGCCGCTACTCGGCAATGATGTTTATTAGCTGCTTTACATCTCCAGAATATGTCTATTAGACATTCAACATAAGCTTATGTATGATAGCGAAACACAGAGAGAGGAAGAGCAGTGAGCCGTGACGTATATATCGACACAAATATGAAGAATTTTCATTATAAAAAAATATTTTTCCTCAACGATTTTTATGTTTTAGTTATTAAAAATAGGAAGTAAAGTAATTATGACCATGTTTTTAATTTAATTAGTCAACATAGAAAAAAAACAGATCAAAATATATATTTTCACGTACTATTCTTGTTTTTCTTTCCTAATCTTTATAGTAGTTCTGACATTTCTTTCCTTCTGTGAACCTAGAGTTAGGTCAAGGCCAAAGCTGGGTTCTTCTTCAGATTATACACATTGGCTGGCACAGCACAGTATAAAGACCAAGAAGTATGTATAATCGGAAAAAGTACCTAAAACTATTAGATAAAAAAAAACACATAGGATAAGAGCTAGAGATTTTAAGAATGAATTTCCTCAAATATATATATCAACTCCCGAAGATTCATTTTTTCTTTGTAATACTGAACAATCAAATACATCTTTTTTTATTCACACAATGACAAATCAACCTCTCCTTAAATATCATGAATGATATCGATCAAGTAGGATGAAAAAGGAATATAGAACCATGACTTAGCTACAAGAATTCTATAACAAAAAATATGTCTCTAATTTTTTTTTACTCAATAATAGTCATAAAAAACCCCATAAATTCATTACTAAAATTTATCATTGTTCGACATTGAAAATAGTGAAGTCTCTATTATTACTGTGATCGTTCTTCTACATATCGACGGCATTCTATACACTAATTACTCTATTTGATTAAACACATAAAAAAGCATGGATGTCACGGTGTCGAAAGTATCGAAATCAATCCATGAACATTGATCGACACGTTCAATTATGAATCATTGCTTATCAACTATCGACCAATTCAATTATAGTTCATAAACTCGAATGAAAACTCTTTAGGATAAAGAATTTTTGAAAATTATGAATTTATTTTTATCTATTTTGAATATTTTTTTTTTTGAGTACTTTTTATCTATTTTAGTTTTTTCCTCAAAATATCGTCTTTTAGTGACATCTTCTAATTGTTCTCTAACCGCAAGCAGAAAGAAGAAGGAAGAGGAACAGCGAAATGTCCTTGTTCTATATTAGGCAAAATCTCGAATATTCGGATTAAAGATAAAAGAATAGAATAATGGAAATGCACTCTATGTACAAATATCATAGAGAAAGAAAAAGCAGGATGTGACTATGACGTCGATGAATACTCTCTATCTCTCCGTAAATGTATATGTATATATATATATGTAATATGTAGTCGATACCATAAAGCAAGATAAACAATCTGAGACATTTATAATAAGTACAAAATGCGAACTACTGTAATTCTATTCCTCGTTTTTATCACCATTGCTCTTTGTCTTTGGTTCATACCAACTGGTACTGAAGCACTTCCGTTTTCACGTAATGGTTATGGACGATGTCCACCAACATGTCGTATGTATTGTCCATGTGGACATGCTGTTGATGCATATAATTGTCCAATGTGCCGTTGTCGACCATCAAATGCTTGTACAGGAAGACATCCAAATGCTTATGGACAACCACCATATATAAAAACAAAGATTCTGTATTGATTTTGACAGACAATAAAACTCATTATAATACTTTTCTAAATATTTTCTTGTATAATTAGTAATATTTCATTGTTTTTTTTTTCTGTGTTCTTATTAAATGTACATATTGAGTGTAAATGTTCAGTGTGTTATAATTTAGCAAGATTGTTAAGCTACATAATAAATGATATAAACAATTTGCTATGAATTTATTTCTTCGGTACATTAATATAGAAATATTAAAGGATGTAAATGGTTTGTTGAAAATTTAGTTCATGATATCCACTATAGTTTTTTATTAATTCAATGTGGTATAAGTTTATACTATTGACTGGATAATTCTTTAGTACAATTCTAAGAAAACATTAGACCAATTCCATAGTAAACCATATGAGAATAATGGAAAATTCTCAATAATACCAAGAGTTTTTACTAACCTTTCTATTACAACAAAAATTATTAGACAAAAAAAAAATATTTATATCTTTTTGATAAACTCTTGAGAAGAATTGTTAATTCATACATAATTAAATTTTTTTTTATCCATATTATGAGCAAACTATCTGAACTACGATTTTCCATTGAAATACTTTACAAATAAATAATTGACATTTTGTTTTACAAAACTTTTGCACTGAGAGAACAAAGTTTCGTCAGGAATTTTTATCTACGCATAAGTGTAATAAGAACCATCAAGGTCATTAGTTGTTGTCATTCTCAAGGAAGGACAGTAATCTATATATATCATACATATTAACCTTTACGCATTGGAAGATTGATTAATAGAACTCGTGACAGTGTAGTAAATCTTTGATTATTAACTGTGAGGTTATTTATAAAATTCATCAATTCGATGAAAATGTTTTCTTATTGAAGAACCATTTAGATACTGAAGAAATCATCATTTAATTTTGGCATGTGCATTTCATTTAAATTTACATTATAGTATCAAACGACCTTGATGAGTAAGAGTAGCGTTTTTTTTTTATAACATAGTAAACGTCATTTTAGACATGTCTCTAACAGAGTTTGATTCCTAGCCATTATGTTTATGGATATGATATTTTAGTTATACACCCACACGATGTCATGTTTCTAGTCTCTATTTTGTATGTTTATATAGTGTCTCAACTATCTCTGTCTTGATCTTGTCCTTGAGTTTTGTCATCTGATATGATCGTCTTAGTTATAATAGAGTCAATTATCAAAAAGAATATTCGAGAATTCTTATATGTATTTATTTATAAATAATATTTATTGTTGATGAAATTGTTTTTGTTTTTTGTATAAATATGCATGAAAATCTACACATAGCATCGAATGAGAAAATTTTTTATTTAAGATAACATATTTAATTCAAATCTCAATTTTATTGAAACATGAAAATTTTTATCTTTAGATTCAAATTTTATTAATAATTAGTAAAAATGTATTTATATTTTACTGCTTAAATATTTTATTTTTAATTCAAGAATAAAAATAAAAATAGAAATACACAAATAATAGAATGTTTATTTTTTACCAGGTATAAATTTACGTAATTTATCACGAAGTACTTTATCATCAATATTACTATTTGTTGGATTACGTGGTGTTGAGCGATTTGTAAGACTTAATGCTGATGTTGGTCTTTCATTATATAAAATATTACGTTCACGTTCACGTTCATTCATTGGTCTTGAACGATTAAAAACATATTGTGCAGCTAATTGATTAGCTTCATCAATTGTTCGTATGGGAATATTTGATGCAAGTTGTATATTGAGTGGTGAAATTGTTCGATGACCAAGATAAACAAAAGCAGCAGGTGATAAATCATAAGATAATAATGGTTTTCGTAAATCAGATAATATAACACGTGGTGGTGATGTATATAAATAAAAATCTTTTTCATTAATATATGGACAAATAAGATTTATTCGAATAAAATCAATAAGACGAGAAACTGGTTCATCAGGACGAAATAATCCTTGAAGAATATAACGATTATTAACAATAAATCGAATAGCTATTTGTTCATAAATAATATTACGAGCTGATTGTGCTCGATCACGCATACTACGAGTTTCTAATGGATTATCATTCGTACTAAATAAATATTTTATAATCTATTGAATAAATCTTATATCAATATTAATTTACTTTTGTTGCTTTAAACTATTAAGTACAGATCGAAGATCATCAGCTGTTAATTCATAAAAATTATCTGGTAATTCTTCTAATTTATTATCTCGATTATCACGTTTTGGTCGAGTTTTTGTTAGATCATAAGCAATTGGACGTCGATCACATGGCTAATAA